TCTTTCAACACTTTCAAATTTTAAGCCATAGCTATTATTATAATTGATAGCCATATTAAGATTTCTATTATGGCAGTTATCGTTAACCTAACTTGTTATGTAAGTGTTTACACAGTCGGCCTTAACCCAAGAGCGATTAACATCTTTTGATAATACACCTTTTAGTTAATGTTCTTGAAACAGTTTCTGGATTTGTAAAGTCTGATAAAGTAATAAAAACGCACACACGCTGTTTGTGAGTGAGTGTCACACAAACGTGTATACCTTTGCTTTATGATTTCCACATATACTAATTATTAGATTTCTATATTTATATAAATTAGTATAATTATGTGGAATGAAACAAGTCAATTTTTTATTAACGAAAAATAAAAGTGACTTAAATATCTTGCTCTGTATTCATTTTATAATTGATTTTCAGGAGTTCCCTTAGTATCTCCGGAGCCCAAGTTCCAATACCAATGAAATTAATATTGGGCCACATGAGAAGCACCAGCTTTTGAATAAAAAAAGAATTATCAAAATCGCTTCCCCCAGTCGAAAGTTCTGAAGTAACAAACATAAAAAATACAGTCGAATTGAGAACCTCCTCCGTTTTTGAAGTCGGGTGAAAAATAGTAAAAATTTTTAAATTAGTTTATGTGAAAATAATATAAATATATAAACGTGAGTCATTATTCTCCTTATGGCACGAAACATTATTTAGCAGATAATTTTTAAAACAACGTATTATGGTTTAGATTAGTAATTTAAAGAAAAAGTTGTAAGTAAAATATGAGATTCTGTTAATGCAATAACAAATGCCTAATAGCAGACGCAAATACGAAGATCCTGTATGTGTTTTATTCATTCTTAAATTCTGATGTTATTACCATATCCACAACTAAACATGTTTTAAAATCTTTTTCAAAAATTGTTTATCGTTAAATTTAAATATTTTAGATGTGGTATTAAATAAATCATTTATTTATTTATTTATTTATTCTTAAATTCTTCTAATTCTAATTTTTGGCTGTCATATCTTATAAATACATAGACAAATATTATTTAAGTTTAAATTTTATATAAAAAGTATCAAGTACCTAACGTTTTGTAAAAAATCAGCATGAACAAATACAGTAATGTACTCTCTAATAACCACGTGAATTGGGGAAACCAATCAATCCAGTCAATTTTTTTAACAAGGAAGTGGCTGTGGAAATTTTGGTGGTTATACAAGAACACTTTTTGCAGTCTTATGAAATGTTTTTTCCTAATATATAAGAGCGACGCAGCAGCCTCTACTATTGAATGAATTGCCGGCTCATCTGGATATAACCACTACATGTAAGAAATGTGATGACGCCGCGGTACTCGATTTTTTTCATATTACACTTTCCTCCCGATTAAGCGGTTTAACACAATTATGTTCTAACTTCATATTTACTATAATTTTGGGTCAACTTTTCACTAGATGACCTCAGTTTTTACCTTACGTTCGAAACGAAGCTGGAAATCCAACGAGTACGGGGGATTTCTTTGGACGGTGGTATTCTGATATCAAGTAAATTATCACCAGATAACATGGAATAGCTTGGAATAAAGATGAATGCCTTAAAGGCGAACATCATTTTAAAAGTTGCATATTGCATTTACAACTAGGAAACATTGAAGTGTCGTCCGTCAAAACAATGTATCATCGGTAAGATTGTTTTCAAAATAATTATTCTTTGTCTCTCCAATACGAGTAAGGAGAAATCAAAATGTTTTGATATATAGAACAATACTTAATGTGATGACGGCAGATTTAGACGTAAACTAGTAATCCATAATGCAACAATGTTCATCAAGTTCGAGAATCGAGACGTATCTAGATTAGGAACAATGGGTCAAAATAATTTCGTAACATCGTTTTTTATGTGAAAAGTTGGTAAGTGAGCACTCGATTCGTTCGATTTTATGTGAATACCGCCGCCCAGGAGACCTCTAATACCGGCGGAGATGCATGCCAACATTAAAAAAGCGGGCCGCGATTACCACACTCACCCAAACATAATATATACACTTCACGCTGGTCTTCTGTGAAGTCGTGGTACCTCCCTCAGACCTGCCTATTCAAGCGACAGCAGTAGCTGATGCTTGGCTAAAGTCCAAAGTTGTTTTCAACAAAAATTTTATAATTACGATCTGTATATTGTTGTCTTGTTTTTCTTTTAGTGAACACATAATGTTGCCTTTACTTTAGACATGTCTTGTGTATTCGAGACTTATTGCATTGCTGTTTATATTATGATGTATGTACAGACTTTGTAATTAAGGTATTTTAACGGTTGCCAATTTGTTGTTGAACATTTTACTACATTCAAATTACTATGACGAGGCCATGCTGCGCTTTGCGTGATTGTGAAGGCTTGTAGAATTTGTGTTAGTGTTTTTGCATTCGCATCACTGTATATGGAATGCAATGATCATTCGATGTCTGTGTTTTTTTTTAATTGTTATTATTGTTTTCAATTGTTCCAGAAGTTATTTTTTTAATTCCAAAAATGGCTCCGGTCACTTAACTGCTATATGCAAAAACGATTTGCCATATTTCCTACTTCAAAAGTCAGATAATGCCACTTAATGGAATCTTTTATTATTCAATTTCCTTCTCCTAAACGATCTAGTCGCATCTGTCAGCAGTTCAGTATTAAGAACTGGCGTTTTTGATGGGTTTTTTTGTATGTCCTTGCTGAAGTTCCTTACTGAAAGCAAAGTAACAGTAAAGTATATTTATATTTATGTATTTTATATTTATATTTATAATATTGGTGTAGGGCCACGCAGATGCTTCTACTGTTACACGAATCATCATCCGGGAAATTACCACGGCCTCACAGAAGTGACAGACTTTCGACGTTCGTCTTGGAAACATTTTCAGTTAAAAAAAATAAACGGATTAAGTATGTCCTTGGGCAAGGTCTTTATCCAGCAGTGGAACATATATAAGCTGTTTGTATCAAGTAATCTTCTATGGTTAGAAGGCGTAGAAAGCTTTGGTGGTAAAAAAATATTAAAATACGATTTATTTATAACTTTTAATGCACGTCGTAATTATTTACTTAATTCCAAAATCATTTATCGAACTACTGTACAACGATCATATTTTATTTTATTTTCTTTATTATTAAAATCTTCTAAACAATTAACATTGAACTTTACAAATGAAATATTTTTATAACAGTTTGTTGATTGGGGTCTCTGGTTACGGCCGTAGCAATTTAAACAACGTATTTATACTGAAAACAAAACGACTGACACAAAACGGGAATACGAGGGAATATGTTCATAGATAACTTTCCCATTTCAAATCTTTTATCTCTATGTCTTATGTACTATTATTTGCTTTTCTCTTTAATTAAAGAAGGTATGACGAGGCAGATTTTTTTTTTTTGCGGAATTTTTAATGACATTCAATCCTGTGAAAAAACTTTACAGTTGTCGCTTGTAGAGCCTTTATTCCTAAACTTTGGAGCATTGCAACTCATATATTTAAAATTTATTGAATTTCACAGTATAGTATGAAACATGTCCAATACATTGTGAGCCCCCATATCCAAATATGCTTATTCCTATTGCGAAAACACAGTATGAACTTTATATTAAAGTGGGCTATTTAAAACATTGCAACTGAATTATAAAAACAACTTTTTTATTTGCTCACATAAACTGGTCAAAACACATTCATATTTTATAACGGCACTGAAAGCCTGCAGTAAACGTTTCGTAATATTTTATTACATAAGTTAAGGTAGAGTTAGGCGTTTTACTAGTTCTCCGCATTCGATTGAAGCGGTTTGTTTGCTAATCTGTACATAATGGAAGAAGAATATGAGTCTTCTTAATGTAGTCTATGTAAAAATTTCATCTAAAACATCACTTAAGTACAACCTACCTACTATTGAATGGCAGTCAGTAACCAGTCGTCAATGACTATCAATTAGGCAATGTTTCAAAATAATGAGACACGTACTTAATTTTACCTTGGTAGGTAATGCGGAATATACCGTACAAGGTCTACGCAATGACACTGCGAAGTTTTTGCTGGCCGGCATTGTTGGGATGTTTTCATTGTAAAAAGTCTACTCATCGTTTTAGGCATAGACACGGACATCCGCAATGAATACAAACGGATAACGAAACACGTGAAACGTACCGAAGTAATTTCAGATTATATAACAAGACTAATACAGGAAAGTCCCATTACAAAAGTACAAGTAAATCTTCAGATCAAAACAAAGCAAGTAATCTAAATGTCAAGGCGCTGGTGATATGTATAAAGTATTGTAGCAAAACGAATTATGAGTATTGTAGGAATGAGGTTTTTCAGAGCATCCATATGTGTTATGCTTGCATATAAACTATTAATATATAATCTGTGCATATAAACTATAATTTGATTCTCAATCTTTTTCATATTAAGATATCTATTCATCGAAATAACTGAGCAACAACACGGAAAAAGTAACATCATTGTAACAATCCAGCAAATTGATGTTCTCAAATAGGATGTTTCTCGATCTAAATACAAGCATTCGTGTCGTATCTAGTTTCGCGGAACTGGTCAACGCTTACTTAAGATAAAAACGAAGGCATTATTCGTTGTTAACGGCGCAGGACTCCTTTATTCCGTGACATGGACAGGCCAACAATGTCACATGATAAAAACGTGGACCACGTAAAGTAGATTCTCTCTGTCCGCCATTACATGAAATGATTACGGCGTCCGGTATTAGCTACATTAGTGCATTTACCAATCAAAAGTGGCAAGAATTCGCAGACAGGCCGACAAATTGTAACAAGGTTTAAATACCATTTAATTTCTACTTAAGTTTTGCACGTAATAATGTATATTTACAGCACGTTAAAGATTTTGTATTCATACATACAATAAATACGTTTTACCTAATTATAAATTATCAATATAGACCTATATTTACAGAATTAAAAAAACTTTTTTATGTTTCAGGCATCCAAACATGGTTATCAATAGCAAAGCAATGGAGAAAGAAAACGTTAGAACTGTTGAAAAGATGGCTACCGACTGTACAAATGATTCTAAAGTGAATGGCAATGGAAGAAATAGCATGATGAAGAGTAAACAAGAAAAAGAAAATCTAAAAGCAACAGAGAAATTAAGCGACGACGATTGGGATGAGCTGAATTTTTTTCAAAAGGCCAAGCATATGCTCTCTTTAATTACAGTCGAGCCAATTTTGGCATGTTATGTGATGCCTTCAGTACTGTCCGCCCTTGCCACTCAGAACCTGTATTTGGAAAAAGCCTGTCGTGTTAATTTGCGTTTCGAACATCACATTTGTGACGCTTTGACCAAAAGGCAAACAGAGAACTACACAATGGAAGAGGAGGCGGTGCAGACCCTGGTCGCATCGGTAGCCGGATGGAAGACTGTTCTCCAGTCGTTTCTGCCTTGTGGTATTTTAATATTTCTCGGAGCCTACAGCGACCGAGTAGGCCAAAGGAAGTTCTGCATGCTATTGCCGATTATTGGAGAATTTTTAACCAGCATAGGGCTAATAGTGAACACGTTTTTCTTCTACCAATTGCCCGTCGAAGTGGCAGCGGTTACCGAGGCGATCTTTCCAGCGCTGACCGGTGGTTGGTTCACAATGTTCATGGGAATATTTAGCTACATAGCGGAAGTGACGACCGAAGAACAAAGAACTCTGCGAATAGGAATTGTGAATTTGTTCTACTCCCTGGGCGTCCCAGTCGGTGCTGCTCTCAGCGGAATTTTAGTTCGAAAAATTGGATTATACGGAGTTTTCTCTTTGAGCGCAACGCTATACATTTTGAGTTTCCTCTACGGCCTGTTCAGAATCAAGGAAGTCAAGCGCAGCGATTTAAATCCTGTAAGTATAAAACGCACGCAGATAAGATCTCATTATCTATACAGATAAATAAAATTGGAGTGTCTGTTTGTAATATTAACATAACCGTTTTTTACTAAACGCAAATTTTTGTCTCTCTGTCTGTCTGTCTGTTTGTTCCGGCTAATCTATGAAACGGCTGGACCGATTTGGACGGGACTTTCACTGGCAGATAGCTGGTGTAATAAGGAGTAACTTAGGCTACTTTTATTTTAAGATTTTTTTATTTTGAATTCCACGCGGACAAAGTCGGGCACAGCTAGTTTATTATATAAAATCCAAATCGGTCCAGCCGTTTCGGAGATTAGCCGGAGCAAACAGACAGACAGACAGACAAAAATTGTAAAAAATGTTATTTTGGTATATGTACCGTATATACATCCATATGCATTTAGTAAAAAGCGGTTATTTTAATAATACAAACAGACACTCCAATTTTATTTATTTGTATAGACTAGTAGTTATTCTCAATATTTAAATAGTGCAGTTATCAGTTAGGGTACTTGGAAATGTATAGTATTCGCGTTAATTCGAGAAATCGTTTAATATAGTTTCGATGATTGCTTAGAATACTGTGTAAATATGTCGGTAATCGTTGACAGTGGATTTAGGAAAGGCGGAAAGTAGCATTTGTCTACTTGTGTGCACAGATGCTCAATGCGGCATTGTAATAAATTACAGTTTCTGGTTAAAACTGAACGATATCGCAATGATATCTAGAACGGCTCGTATGTTACGCTTACGAACTGTCGTAATAATGAGGTGCTTTATTTATTTAAGATTCATTGAACTGTTAATTTTGGTTATCAGTTTGTTCAAGACGCTTTCCAAGTTAGTATTTTTTAATTTCTAAAAGAAGTTCCGTTATTTTTACCTCAAAAATGGAAATTAAATGGGAATTAGTATTACGTTAAAATGTATATTAGGTAAGATTGAATGCTATAGTTGAATCATGCTACATTTAAATAGAAACCACTATTATTCTGTATTAACGTGTTCTCCAATCTTTTCTCTCAAGCACGAATATGAGCATTTAATAATGCATTTTTTTATTCATGCTTGCCACTAAGTAATGAACTCAGGTTTGCTATATTCTAAGTTTCCAAACCGTTTCTGTATGTAACAGGGCTAGTGAACCTTAGCTTTAAAGCGCGCAAACGTATAAAAACAAAAGACGCTGTTTTCAATAAGTTACCTTCAAGAAGATAGCGTCTTTCCTAAAAGGCCGGCAACGCATTTGTAAGCCCTCGGGTGTTGCAGATGTCCATGGGTGGCGGTGATCACTTACCATCAGGTGAGCCTCCTGCGTTTCCGTGCCCAAAGGGTAAAACGGGAAAAGAACAAAGACTGTCTGTCTGGCTATCAGTCTGTCACTAGGCTGTATCTCATGAACCGTTAGACAGTGTTCACAGGGAATGCATTCCTGTTATCGCTATAACGTGATGTGAAAATGTTTTTTTTTTGTCGTTTTTATAGATAATGGTACGGAACCCTTCGTGCGCGAGTCCGACTCGCACTCGGCTGGTTTTTTTTTATAATGGATGCGAGTTTCGTAATTTTTTCCCTTTAAAACAAATTAATTGGGTTTTTAATGCTTGATGGTTATCCGATTTTGAAAATGACATCTTCCGGACCTTATAAATCGACAAAAAGATAGCACTGATTGTATTATAGATTAATAGTTAATAAAATACATATTTGTGGTATTGTTAACGAATACATGCAATAATAAACAAAAAATTGTACTTTAATTTGATATTTGTTGTTATCCGGACTAGATCGCGTTCTATAATAAAATAAATATATACGAATGTGTGCATAGCTTTTTACCACAACATCGACATAGCATTCTGCAGTTTAGTTTAGAGTACCTGGAGGACCGAGCTTATCTCGGTTTGTTTTTTGGTAAATGATGTATTTTGGAAATAAACAAAAAAATAAAGAAAATGATCTGGTATATAAATGAAACTAAGTTGGTATATAATGAAACTAACCATGATCTGGTATAGAAAAAAAAGTAAAAAAAAATAAGTTTGTAAATGATCGTGATACGAACCGCGGCCGCCTGTTTTGGGGCCGCCCGATTACCGTCCGAGCTATTATAAAATTTTTTTTTGCGGCGAAATTTACCGTCATATTCGAATGATATTTTTCATTCCCTGAAAACAGGGATAAAAGGACATTTTCTAAAAATGAAACGATAGCTTGATCGATTTTTCGCCGCCAAATCTACGTACGTACAAAATTTCATGAAAATCGCTGGAGCTGTTTCCGAGATCCGATTATATAAGAATTTTGCTCGTTTAAAGGATAAGATTTAGGCGATAGTAAAATGTCGTAGGTCGTGTCCATTGGCCGTTATCGTAATTATGTAATTCAAGTTCAATGTTGGACATCGGGCCATCCGACCATAACAATAGAAAAAGTCCGTCAACTTGACCCAGTTCTTTGTCACACTCGGTTGATACAGAGGCCCTTGGTTCTAGTACGTTCTAGAAAGATAATGTAATGATAGGAATACTCCATGTTATCCTTTGCGTTTCATTTCATTCATCTAGATATCAACATTTAGATGTACCACCGTTGATTTTGGTTCTTTGTCTAATCTCTCCGGTAAAAAAAACATGTGTGTACTTATGTACGCACGTAAGAAGTAATACTTCTTTAACGTAACAAAAGAAAAGAACTAAAAATTTTATGTACTGTGCCAGTACTCTTTGTGAAAAAGACATTAAATGATAACGGTTTAATTAAATAACTTGGAGTTATAGATAAATCTCAAAAAGTCATCGCTTTTTAGCAGTCGGCGTGTGCTTGCATTGTATTAATTTTACTTTACTTATATTTATTTTCATATGCGACAAAATAAGACTAAAAAGAATAAGAGCCGCTTGTACCGTAAACATTTCGTCGAGAATTAGATGTCTGCATTCCCCTAAACCGGCTGTGTACTGATTCTATTCTAATGCTGTATCGATTGAACTGCAACATCATCACCATCTATGACGTACGGTATAAGTAATTAGATGTCAGACGTAAAAGGATTGTGAAGATTAAAAGAAAATAGCAAAAACAGCGTAACAATTCCTATTTGAAAATTACCGAGAAGTTGCGGCATAATTAATTTGCGCTGAGCGACGTGTTATAATATAATCTAATTACAAAAAAAAAGTTTGTTTGAGTAACAGTGTAGCCTTTTTCAGAAGATAAATTCTTAATAATGTCAACAAGTCTATTAAATCTCAAGTTTAATCATAATCATAAAGAGTTTGTGTCAAAAGTGGTCTTATTTCAGAAATAAGAGCACTTTATGTCAACAGTATTGTTCTACATTCGTATAAATTATAATTGCTTTTGAGATGGGCATGTGTTTTGAGAAGCATACGAGTAAATGATAATAGTGTCCTATTTATGTCAATTAAAAGTAATAAAGGGAAATAAATAACGTTAAATTCATGTTGACAATGAAAAATCCAAAGGTATTTGTAAAAGTATAACAAAAATCAAAAAGTATGTAGCAAAATTTCAAAACATGAAATAAGTTTCATTACGTAATTCTAAAGTTATTTCATTATTTTCACTATGTTTACTAATGAATTATATTATGTGTGTAGGTAATGCATTAGTTTAAGACCGCTTGTTAACACATGCTCCCACTCGACTGTTAAATGGATTGACAATATGATTTTCGGACGGAAACTTTTTCTACCAATATTTAGACGTTTATTTTCGGAAATTACCACATATGATCTTGCCTGGAATCGAATTAGCAAACATAGCCTGGACATTCAAGGTCATGTATATATATTTTTGATGGTGAAATAAACAATCTTTACAAATATTGAAATAAAGATACTATTGTCATATTTTATAATAAAACTCAGTTTGCAATTAATAAACTTCAAGTTTCAATAAACATTACGATTAATAATACAACTGCGTGCAACATAAAAACAGAAATTGTGTTCATTTATTTATTTCTTTTGAACCGATGGCGCGAGATTTCCCTTCTCTGAGGGTGTATGTTCGAACACCTGGAGAAATATTCTTTGATGAATATAAACAGTGTTTTTCAGTGTCCGGGTCCTTTATCTATAATATACATATTATATTTATTTACCAAACATACTTCGTTTTGTAAATAAATATATGTTTATCAGTTACCTAGTACCCATATTACAAGCATTGCTTAATTAGGGAATAAATAAGGTGTAAAAATATGCCCTCAAATATTAATTTATGTATTTATTTTCAGAAGCCGTCGAAGAATTGCTGCGCTTGGTTGAAAGATTTCTTCGATATTCGTTACGTAAAAGATACCATGACGGTTGCTTTCAAAAAGGGCCCAAACAATCGAAGGCTGAGGGTGATAATGCTGGTAATAGTCCTTTGCGTCGTCATTGGCCCTATTTATGGTAAGTAGTTTATTTTAAAGAGTTTACAGGCAAACAATATTTTGGAATCTTAGGATAAATTACTAAAACTGACCTATCTTGACCTATATTGACGAGAGTTTTTATTAATATAAAATCAGTGTTTTATATCTTACTTCAGAATGCTTCAACGCTGCAAATAAATTAAGAATTAATTTACCTAATAAAATCAATTTTGTTAAGTAATTTATAAAAAAACAATTATAATATAATGTCCCGGAATGTTGAACCCTGGGAGAATGGATGAAATGTACCCGAAAATAACTCTTATTGTGGGCCACAGGGTAATGTTCCTTCTCTTTGGCTTCTGATGTCGTATGGAAGGATAGTTATTAGGGAATAAGATGGATGTATCATTCACAAGGAAGTAATTACACAACTGCAATGTAATGAATCATCATCCTCCTGCCCTTATCCCATCTCGGCAAAACACATCAATCATTTTGCTATGTGGTATTGCCGATGTTATTTTTACGACCCGCGGCTAGTTTCACATTAACCGTCCTTGGGAGCTAACACCCAGCCCCAGAAAAAATATCTACGGGTCACACAAATATTTGTCACATGTGGTAATCGAATCCAGGACCACCAGCCCCGAAGCTCATAACTTAGAAACTGCGCCGAGTCATCAACAATTTTTACACAACGTTCTGATACTAATAATATACGTAAAAAGACAAGAAGGTTTCGAGAGTCAAATTTTACAATCACTCAAGTGTACCCTCTGCAAGGAGTGTACAAGCTTGAATGCGAATGTAGTCTCTCTTATATAAGACAAACCAAAAGATCAATATAGACCAGAATAAAGGAATATATAGGTATTTGACGTAAAGCACTAGGTGGAGAAGTCTGCAGTTAGAACATTCCAATACACGGTGTTTTTTGTATCACAAAACAAGGGATTTATTTAGCATTCTGGGGACAATAAATGGATATCGTGGGTATACCCTTTAGCAGAATTTTAATTTAAATGTATGTGTATTTTCTGAAACATGAGACTCATAGTCATTCATAAATTACTTATGTTTTGTGAATATTGTGATACGATATTAATCATGGTGACATGGTGATGAGTTAGGTTATATTATGTTGATATTATTATAAGATACTTATTCGTTTGTCAGAGGCATGGTATTTGCTCGGAGAAAAATCTAAGCTTTAGTGGCGCGAAAGTCTTAGGAAGACATTGGAATAACGCACTAATTAGCCAAAAACATTTTGGATCGCTCTAACCACTACATTAGATTTGAAAAACCGCAAATCCTCGCAAAGAACACCTATAACCACCACCAAGAATATTACTTATAGAGAACAAAAAACACTATGTTCAAATATTAAAAAAAGAAAAATATTTGAATTTTGCAGTAGTGACTGACACGAACTCAATCCATCTGTCGCAAGGGACAGATATTTAACACTCAATAACGCAATTTTAATTTCCCATGCTTTTGTCTTTTCGATTAGAGCCTTCAGGTGCACGAACAGGACATCGATTACAATAATTCTAATGTGGCATTTTTTTACAGGTGAGATGTCAGTCATGTATCTGTTTACGAGATACCGTTTTAATTGGAACGAAGTGGACTTCAGTATGTTTTCTACATACGCTATGTGCACTTCATTGATAGGTAATTATATGTTTTTTTATAATTTTTGAAGTGACACGGCTTAGATTCGGTTATTGGACGAGATTTGAGAATGAAGTTTCAAGGACGCATATCGTTTAAACATATTTCGTTACATGAGGGAGAAGAAATATATACACAGAGAGAGAGAGTGAGAGACAGCGACGGATGCACTCAATAGAAAGTGGTAGAATCCTTACTAATATTATAAATGCGAAAGTTTGTATGGATGTTAAAGGATGGATGTTTGTTACGCTTTCACGTAAAAACTACTGAATAGATTTTAATGAAACTTAACAACAATATAGCTTATACATCATAATAACACATAGGCTATAATTTATAAATATATTGTGTGAATTGTCCAAAAATAAAGGTAATGATAAGTCTCTACTAAGTAGGAAAAAATTCAGGTAAAAAAAAACTCATTGTAAATTCCGAGGGCGAAGCCGCGGTTAACAGCTAGTTATGAATAAGATAGCATCACGCTTGCAGCGTGGTGCATTAGACGCTAATTATGAACAACTGAAGAACGCGTTGTGTAATTAATATTTATCATTTTGTTTTATGATTATTTACGTTTTTTGTGTTTGTGTTTAACGTCTATTATGTGTGCCCGAATTTTTTAATTAAAATTGTGCAAAATCTTAATAATAATAATGGTTAAGATAGCAAACATTGATATCATAATAATTATTATATTTTTTTTTCAGGAACTCTTTTTTCGGTAGGAGTTTTCAGTCATATATTAAAGTTCGACGATGCAATTATTGGTGTTATTTCATGCACCAGTAAAATTTTATCGGGATTTATGTACGCGTTTGCAACAAAAACGTGGCACATATATATAGGTAATGTATTTTTAAAACACAATCATTGATTAATAGAGCAGTAAAAAGAATATTTATCTAACAAAACATGACGTTAATTTATAAAACGTTTTGTTTAAATAACAGTACCTGGAGGTTTTTTTTTTTTGTAAATCATGTATTTTGGAAATAGAAAAAATAAAAAATAAAGAAAATGATCTAGTATAGAAAATAAGTAAGAAAAATAAGTGTGTAAGCCATAAAATAAATGATCGTGATCCGCGGCCGTCTGTTTTGGGGCCGTCCGATTACCGACCGAGCTATTATAACATTTTTTTCGGCGAAATTTACCGTCATATTCGAATGATATTTTTCATTCCCTGAAAACAGGGCTAGAAGGACATTTTCTAAAAATTAAACCGAGCTAGATCGATATTTCGCCCTCGAATCTACGCACATACTAAATTTCATGAAGAAGAATTGCTCTTTTAAAGGATAAGATTACCTTAGCAACTTTGTCCAAGGAAAGTACTTAAAACGATTTTCGGTAAGAGAATTAATTTATTTAGTATTATTCTTTGCTTATAAATGAATATCAAGGGTATACGGATACCTTACAGTAAAATTAAAATTAATGTTTATTTGTGAAAGATATAAGACTTATAATTATAAACAAACTACTTAACTACCAACAACAGCTAATTGTATGATATGTTGATATTATATTTACAGAACTGTTACTGGTTATTTATTTGTCAAATATACCTACGGTCTTTGCTTGGAAGATCAGATTTCCAGGGCGGGACAGCCTGAGACATTGAATTGATGCACTACTTGGCCAAAAATAAAGTGTCTTTTATAAGGGTTCTAACGTCTTTACTTTCCTTCTAATATTTTAACTATTACTGAACTTGAATATTAAAAACTATTATAACGACAAGCAGCACTAGTGGCTATATCACCGTCCGAGAACGCAGGAAATACAAGTGACCGCTGCTACATGCGACCATGTGTCCCTTGGCTCGAGTAGATAACGTCATATTCTGTATACAGTGTTGCCAGCGCCAACATTCGGCCGTCCTGCATCACGCCTTCGTCCTCGAATGGCGTTGTAGTCTGGTATAAGAAGTAACCTTCATAAAATTAACACCTTACCCTGTGGCTTATCTCCTTCAACTGGGATGCATATCGCCACGTTCAAAACACTTTCCCTATGGCTTATCCCTCTAACAGGGATGCATATCGCCACGTTCAAAACAATTACCCTGTGGTTTATCCCTCAACTGGGATGCATATCGCCACGTTCAAAACACTTACCCTGTGGCTTATCCCTCACAACTGGAATGCATATCGCCACGTTCACAGTTTTCATCGATTTATCAACTTAAGTAGCTTTACCGGTTAGACCAGTGATGTATTGCTACGTTGTCTAAGTACCAGTGATGGTGTTTACAATGGATATCCATCGTCAGTTCATGCCTTAAATTTTCCAACTACTAAAATTTTGTTCTTGTGTATCGCTATTAAATTTTTTCTCAAATTTGTTAAGTAATTAATTAACTGGAAGGTACTCACCAAAACTTTCGTTACATTAAACTAAAAGATTTTATTACCATTACGTATAGTAAGTATAAACACACTGTTTTATTTTACGAGGGTAGGTACCCAAGGAGAACATATGTCGCCGATTGTTTGAACAGCCAAGCACGAGTTTTCGTATTGAATCCCACTTCTGATATAAGAGTTCTAACGTCTTTACCTTCATTCTAATATTTTAACTATTACTGAACTTGAATATTAACAACTTTTATAACGACAAGCAGCACTAGTGGCTATATCACTGTCCGAGAACTAGCTGAAATCCAAGTGACCGCTGCTACATGTGACCATGTGTCCCTTGGCTCGAGTAGATAACGTCATATCCTGTATACAGTGTTGCGAGCGCCAACACATTGAATATTGTTTGTTTGCATTTTCACAGCTCCCCTGATTGAAATTTTCAATGGAACTTCGTTCATTGCCATGAGATCGATGGTTTCAAAATTGGTGGATAAAGATGAGTTGGGTGAGTACAATTTAAGGTAGCGATGAATGTTGACTGACTTTAGTTCGCTCAGAGATATTTTTAAAGAGATTAATATACTCACTGTTGCATCTCAATACATTTATTGTAATGTTTTATATATTAGTCATAACCTTAATTTTTACCTAAAGAATAGTGACAGACATAAATTAAACACTAGAAATAAGGACAAACTTACTACGCTATTGTTTCGCCTACAAAAAGTAAATATGTCGTTCATGGGGCAAGGTGTGCGCATGTATAATAAAATCCCACAGTCAATATTAAGTCTGCCGCTTGATCAATTTAAACGTAAAATCAAAAGTCAACTTATGGTTAAAGCATATTACACTATTGCCGAATATTTTGACGATGCCAATGTGTGGAGTTAATACTGTTGATACTCACGTAGGATAGAATAAGACTATTATACCGGTATTTTATATTGTACTAATATCTTTGAAAAAGAGCAACTGTTGAGTTTCTTGCCGGTCTCTTCTCAACAGAAACTGCTTTCCGAGCCGGTGGTACCTTACGAACCTCTATGTATAATTTTTTATGTAAAAATAATATATGTGTAAATAATAATGTAAAAATGTAAAATTTGACGATTCATAAGAACGCGCAAGCGTCTATTTGAATAAAGATTTTTGATTGATTGATTGATATGAGAATGTAAAGGAGCATAATAAATTTTTCTTTATTTATCAAATAAGGAATAACATAAACCATAAAATAAAAACAAATCTAGCACACTATTAGCACATACCCATTCTAGAACAATGACAAATGTCTAAAGAAATGGCCAAGAACAAAATAATAAGCATTCATGGTGATACCATATCAACCGCGTATGATACCTCTATGGACGTTATATCAATTCCTGTACTACTATTTATATAGTGTAGTATAGTGGAATAGCAGAACGGCAATTTAATGATCAAATAGTCCTGGAGTGACATCTATAGTCCGTGCTTTGTAGGTTAGTGGGGATTACAACTGTCATTCAAATAAAACTTATCAAGTTCCGTAATTTGTGACGCCACAATGTACGCACGATAATGTTGTACTTTATTGCCAGGTGCGCATGGATAGTGATGTTCCTTAGGGTCGTCTTACCACAGACGATAAATAAAATAAATCGAGTAAAATGTTTCTTTACATTCAAAATCTGGATTCGTATAAAATTAATATAAATGGATTGGATGGATAAAATTAGAAAAATGGATATTAAGGATAAAAAAAATTGGAAAAATGCAAACTAATTGATTAAAAATGGATATCAATGAAATATCAATTTTTTTTTCATAATAGCTTCATTGTCAATGATTTTTTATCTCTCAAAGTATTTTTACTATTCTTGGACCACGCAACGGTATTCACTGTTGAACGAATGTTCAGGTCCGTCCGGAGAAGTACCACGACCTCACAGATAACCGGCGTTACCACAGTTAAAACTTTCGTAATTATGAATCCTAAAAAGTTTAATAATGAAAAGTATAAATACCTACTTAAGATGTTAGTTTTGTCACAAGAAATGGAAATCCTTTTCATAAAATGAAATTCCGGGACCTATGTTCTTCCGTGACCTATGTCCTTCTAAACAAATGCCTTTATTTAGTATGATATCTAGCGGCATTAAATTTTCACAGGCAAAGTTAACTCCTTTTTCGGGGTAGCCGAAGCTATGATGCCCCTTGTGTACGCACCAATGTACACAACAGTATACACAGCAACAATAAAAACCTTCCCTGGAGCATTCTTCCTTCTCGGGGGTGGTCTCACAGTGCCTGCAGTTGTCATATTTTTGTGAGTATATTTGTTCCTTTTAAAATTTAACTGGAAACCTTGTGAAATAAACTATTTACTATAATAACTAAAGTAGCTCTTTACCACCGTGAAAATCGTTATATCTTTACTTAACAGCAGCTTCTGCTGTTGTGCAAATAGTTCTAGTTTGGAGAATTACCACAGAAGCGAAAGTGAGGGAAACGAGTAGACTTTTTTAAAAGTTGGCTGTATGTAGTTGGCCACCCCACTGGTATTGCAAACCTCCATTGAAAGTTTTCATCACCTAATATCAACTGCCTGGTTGCTGGCAAGCGGTTCACTTGATGTTAGAGAATCAGAATCAGAATATCATTTATTTGCCTACTTTGTGTATTACAATTTATAATCCTGTGGCCGGTGAGCCGTGCAGAGTCAGCTAACTTATGTCCTAATGGATCTGTGTTTGCTGTGATTTAATTATTCGTTATGAGTACATTGATGTTAGAGCATGGTGTCAACCTTCTTCCTCAAAAAATTAAGGTTGATTACTTATACTTCTTCATCGTCTGAAAGTGCTGAAAGATATTCATTATCACATAATGGAAACTAACACTGTTTAATATTATACCAGTCACTTCATGATATTCCTTCATATAAAATGTAACGAAAAATTATTTAAGTATATCAAACTTATGTGTATCCGATCATTTTTATTTTTATTGTGCAGATGGTTGTATTTGGCGAATAAAAAATATGCAGCGATTACAAATGATAAAAAAAATGAATTGAAATCGGATTCTAAAACTGAAAAAAATGGTGTGGAAAACAAAGCTTTCCATACTGAGGACGAAGCACATAAAAACGTAAAGGGAGCTGAAACTTTAGATCCTTCTAATGATGACGTCACGCAGTCCCAAATAGAAATGGGCTTTACAGAGAGTATGCTTTGTAATCGTACTAGTAATCTTTAAAAGTATTACTAAATGTTTAAATTAAATTGGTATTTAAAATGACAGGTTTTGCCAACTTTTTAATATCGTTAATATAGTTGAATAGTAATAGTATTAAGATTAAATGTAAAGAAAAATGATATCCTGTGATATTTGTTACCTATTGTTATTAGATTAAAACTTATTTATATATATATATATACACACAGGTGATTATTGCTCTATGATAGAAAATTAAACTGTAAATACTTAGAATTAAAAATATATGTAACATAAATGTACTTGCGCGTTATATATAATGTTTGTATTTGTAATAATCTATGATATATCTCTGTGTATAATTGAAAGGCATGAAATTGATATCGCTAAGATTTACCACCACCACCACTGCCCAATACCCACATGCTAGTGTATTGAGCAGTGGTGGTGAAATAATAGTTACCATGGTTACTAGTTACTAAAAGTCAACCCAATAAAGTAAACAAAATCATACCCTCTTAATATTCTAGCGCGATCCTGAAGGGATTTGAAACTGTTATTTACTGCTTACAGCTGGATACTGTATCCCCATGTAAAACAGTGCTCCTTACCGCTACCATCCATAATTGTCAGACATCAGTAAGACTGACACAGTACGTTTAGCACATCATATATAAAACACTTATATTTGTACACGCAATAATTAAACATCGTACAAAACAAAATCGGAGACATTGTAAATAATATATCATAATTTACTTTGAATTAGAAATCACATAAATGAATTTACAGTTCGCACTGTAGCCGATAATGTAATATTCCTAATTTTTTATAATATTAAATAAATACTTATTTCATGAAATGAAAAAACTAGGAAACTGTAATAATATACGTAATTAGTTTAATGCATGATTCATTTAATTTTAATATTATACTAGCGGACCCGACAGATCTCCTGTACACACGTGTTAAATCTGATAACTTATAAAAAATATTATGTTATGGACCGAATTGTAAAACTGTCAAGTCGAACACACCAAAATCGGTTCAAGGTTCGGAGTTCAGCTACATAGACACGCACATAATTATTTATTTAACGACGAAATTAAATGTTTTCATTTAAATGTTGCGTTTTATGAGTATAAATTATAAAACATGCATTAATACTATAATACATCTTTGATAATTTGTCCTACCCATACCAATACCATCCATAAAAATGAAACAAAAAGTACCATTCAAAAATATTCGCATTTAATAATATTGATATGATATATGTAGCTCGGTATCATTCTGATAATATATGTATATTTCGATGTTATATCCAATCGAATCGATAGATCGACGTATCAAATAACAAAATCTATGTTTTTTATACATCGAATAACAAAACGCATTTAAAATAAATGACGTGTAAAGCTTTTTATATGCTTCCTTCCTTTGATAATTATTGCACTGCTCAAATGCAACAATTTTTACTATAGAACCCTGACAGCTGACCCGTCATTTTGTATCAGGCATGACTTTGTTTTTAATTTTGATGGTGGTCTCATAATAAAATGTGTTGTATTTGAGGTGAACGTAGTATCCACCGCAACAGGAATAAAATCGGACCCTAAAACATTAGCAAATAAGAAAATCAGGCAGATTATAATCAGTTTTTTTAGCAACTCGGTCCTCACATTTATTCCATTTCTAAATTAAAATTCCGAAAAGTTAAACATAATAGTGTATATATGTATATTTGCTTTTTCGAAAATTCGAAGTATTATTTCCGCATTCTTTCGTTCTTATCTCATCACTGAATTGACTCAATGTATTGATTAGAAGACATTTTTTTTTCTTTTTTTTTTTTTAATTTGGCATCGCGTCGTTTGCGCATATGCCACTATCTGATCTATAAAAAATATTTTCAAATTTTTTCGACATAAATGTTTTAGCGCTTACAAGATTGACAAAACGGTGCAATTAAAAAATTGATAACCTCCTCCTTTTGTAGTCGGTTAAAAATAATGGAATAGCGTATATAATCTAGGATTATTATCCTAGATTATATACGCTTTTGATTATATATGCTATTGCATAAGGCATAATTTTAAGAGGTAGAGTTAAAAGGTGGGGCTAGGATATAGTGTGCTATATTTTGAAATAAGTAGTCCTCACAAAGCAAAACTAGTTTTGTTCCACCTAGGAAATTTGTATTTAACAAAGGAATTTTTAATCCGAATTTATCACATATTCATATCATTGAATCATAGTTTTAAATAATTGTTGCAGACCAATTACTATAACAGTGTTGAAGCATCGAAGAGGATTTATAAAAGAGAAATTTTCTGATAAGTATTACTTGTATCTATCCATCTATAAAGATGGAAGCAGTAATGTAATGACTGGAAAAATGAAACGAGTCCTAAATTTTTTATGAAAATAACATCTATTATTGTATAAGTAGCTTTAATCCTTTTCAAAGTCCAAATTTATGAGCATAGATTTAAAAATAAATCAAATTTTCATTGATACCTACTTTCGTTACAATTTCGAAATGGTCATAATGGTAAATGCGTACTTGTTTTGCTGTTATCTTTATTACGTTTTGATTTTTAGGTGTTATTTATAAGTACTTACTTAATTAATAAGGGCATTTACCCATGAAAATCTTTTAAGGTCGCAATCTGAACACGGTTCATCAATTAAGTCGTGAATTTGTTCTAGAACTGTTAATGTTAATCTTCATTCGAAAACGATTTATCATTATGCTATTGAAAATAATGCTTTTTTATGATTAACTCGTGAAGTACTTATGTGATTGTAAACGAGAAATAAAACTAGATATTATTAATCATGTTTCCTTTAATATTGTCCCCATACCTATATAAATATGTTCACAAAATATTAAAAAATCATTTACAGATGTTGCTATACTTTATAAAAAACAACAATCACCTTTACCTGAGAGTACTTATTAATAATTAAGGAATAAAATTGTTGCATTAAATTCTTAAAATACAGTCTTCTGAATCATAAAAGTTTAAGTAAAAAAATGTTGACACATTAATAAATATAGCGTGTCGATCAGGCGCTACACAATATTTCATACACTTTATGGGCAATCTCATTGCCAGCAAATGGCATATACAAAGCTTTATGACTTGGATGTACCTGTAACAATAAAAAAGTATGTTATAATTCGGTCTCTGTACATATATATGTATTTCAAAATTTAAATAAATTTGATGTTATTTGCAACTTCGTAATTTATTAATATTATAATTTCATTTTTTTTCTCAATACTTTTCAATTTTGCAGCAGCGTTTTTTATGTCATTCATTAAAAATAAATAATTTTAAATTTAAACAATATTTTTGGCATTTCAAGTAAATAACGAAAGAGAACTTTTTGAACCATTTTATTATAAATCAATAAACTGGAAAAATATTTAAAAAAATCATATATCGTATAAAATCAAATCACTCATACATTGATGGTACAATGCTTCTCTTTTGATATGCATGATTGCACATAGGCCGGCTATACGTGTATTTATATATTAAACTAGCTTTTCGCCCGCGGCATCGCTCGCGTTGAAGCCATTAAATAAATATCATTCTTTAACCTCTCAACCTTTTACACAACACTTTTTTCCAATTTTTCCAAAAAATTGCCTATGTCCTTTCTCAGGCTCTAGACTATCTATGTACCAAATTTCATTTAAATCGGTTCAGTAGTTTTGGCATGAAAGCGAGACAGACAGACAGAGATACTATGGTATTTATCATATAAGCATGGAAGTATGGATTACCATAAGTTTAGGGTATGTTCTAATACCATAAATGAGGAATATGTGTACGAAACAACAACATAAAAAAAAATTCCATTATGGAGCCCATGCCGAAGTGATTCATTTACGCAGATAAGTTAGTTGTATAATCAAACAAAATATCTTAACTTACTACACTTTGCAATCTTCTTTTTTTTTTAATGTTTTTGCAACGAAATTAATATATGCGACCATGTCAAATTTCAAGTAAAGATGTTTAGTAGAAAATTATGTCGTACGAAATTTTATAATTTTTATGGAAGGAGCCGTGATAGCTCAGTGTCCGGGCGCTCGCCTTTAATTCAATATACTCGAGCAACCTGAGTTCGATCCCCGGTGCCGGCACCAATGAAGTTTTTAACTTTAAGTGCTGACTTATCACGTGCTCCGCGGTGAAGGAAAACATCGTGAGGAAACCGCAGTGGGGCCGCGTGGTGGACTATGCCCTGATACCCTCTGTATAGAGGAGGCCTTTGCCCAGCAGTGGGACATGTATAGGCTGTTACTTTACTTTTTTACTTTTTTTATGGAAGGAAAATGAAAATGATAAAAAAAATCAAAAGGTATATGTTATTGGCTCCTAATTCATCTCGTTAAAGGAATTCAATAAAAACATGTATGTTTATCATAAGCACATAGGGTTTGTTAGTTTTTTTTTTTAATTTATATAACTTCCAGCGGCGGATTTCGCTATAGGCCGAGTATACCCAAAACACCAATACAGATTCGACTAGGGCGCAAAATTTAGGGGACTGCAAATTAGATGTATTTTTTTATAGTATCGGGCGGAAATCTTTCATGTGTATTGGGCGATCCACGGATCAAATGAGCCACTGAGAACTTCACTATCTACTATGCTAATCGTATCGTCTAATGTATGATACAGGTATCTTTTATTTTTAAGTTAGGCCCTTAGAGATAGATTTCCAGAAACTACAATATTTTAAATGGTCAATTATAAATGAAAATAGTTCAATTCTTCAAGTATCTTGAAAAAAAAAAATTATCCAATTGGGCTTGGGTTTTCCACATGGCCCTCCCACAAAATAATAAAATTGTATAAGCTCAACATAACACTCAAATAATGTAAAGCTTATGTAGAAAGGGTATGTATGTAGTTTACCTTTCCTGGTGTCAATGATCCCTGCTCTTTGGCTCTACCAATATACAAAGGTTCCCCAGAAGAAGTATTGCCTCCTGCAATGGCATTTGGAGGAATGACACCATCACGGCTTTCCATCCAACGAACCTTCTCAGGCCTAGCACAGCATACCTGAAAATGTTTCTCAGTTTCTTAAAAGCTTTTATTTTATGATTATATTTTACTTTTTGCGGTAGTTTGCACTCCAGATGATACATACTTCAATTAATTACATAAATAATTTCATGTACTTTTTTCGGTTTCCTTGTTCCATATAAAACGCCAGTTTCACATGGACCTAATATCATGTTGGATTAGAACTTTGTATATGTTATAACATAATTTTAAAAATGAAATGATATTTTAATTGAGTAGTAAGTAGTGATGAATTCAAAAAATTTTAAAGTTTTAAGAATATAATAATCGATTGTAAAATTAATTATTCCTAGCAACACCACCTAATTGTTCATTCTTTGTCAATGTCAATTACGGCTGACTACTTGGATCGCTACAATTGAAAACTCATTTGGGAGCAAAGTGGTGATTACATCAATTCTCCATTCTTATACATGAATGGACATTGCAGCTGTCAAAGCAATGGTGAATTGAGAACATCTAGTATCTAAGGTCTATTTCTCAAATATCATCATTAATCATAGTGACTTTTTTTTGCTTCCGTTGGAATAAAAAGTTTATAAAAACACTCTCCTGTTCAATACTTATGTTGTGAATAAATATCAAGTCAGACAATCAACAAATTTTTGAGTTTTGTGCACACAAACATACGGAAGCAAAAATTGTATACATTAAAAATTTGCACTTAGGATATTCATTACAAAGCAGCACCACCCATATATACATTTTAAAAGTGTTAAGACAGATAATTCAATTAGATATAACCTCAATTTCAGCAGCATATAAAGTAGGATTACTTGCAAATCGGGATGAATAAATGGAAATACTTTGCAGAACATAAAAGATATTCATTGTTTAAGAAATAAATTAAAATCTGAGTGACATAACTATTTTTAGTAACTAGTGACGTAACTAAAGATGCAAATGTAGCTCCAAAAAAATGGGCAATGTACTTTGAATGAGAGGTGCCATTGTTACTCAATTTTATGATTATTTTGTGTCAGTCTATACTCAAGTTGAAGCTTGATAACGGTAAAATGTATCTTATCTAAAAGAAGAAGAAAAATTTGGACAATGTACCTCAATGTTTTGGACAGGATTTTCTTTTCCACCCCATGGTACATAAGCAGCATGATGTTTAATAGCAAGTTTGCCTGGAATCAGATCACCTTCATACCGAGCTCGAATGATCCACAGGGGGCTGCCATCGTAGCCTTCATATCCAGCAATAATTGCCTTGTCACTTAGAGTTGGGGCATCTCTAGGTGTAGTAGGAATCCATTCGACGGGAGCTGCAATTGTGTAAAAAATACAAAAATACTAAAGATATCAATAGTCATTATACAGGATATTCGTCCCCTTCAATGTATCACAATTTTTTTCTTAGCAGCAGTAGTGTACATTGTTAGGATTGTAACTGGTATTATTTATTAAAATATGTAGAAAAAAAAAAGAAAAAGAAAAGAAATTTTTTTTTTCTACATATTTTAATGTTCAATCTTAAGTGCAAAGATTAGCACTATAAACAATTTAAATTGGTATTATTTATGCTGATAGGTACAATAAATTGTAGTCAGTAAATATTAAACATGTAATTGTTTACAATAGCAGCAGAGGCGGTTTACATATTTAAATGTTGGTAATCTTATAGAAAATACAACCAAAAATTATTAAAAAGTAAAAGTACACACTAGGATTGACATTAACATTTTTAGAAAAATAATTAAATCTTGCAATGCTAAGGAACTCCACCATTATGTTGCCTAAATTCATTTTTGATAATAACTTTAAGAGGGAATTCAATTTTTTATTTTGTTGGAAGGAGAATACAATGGTAATTACAAACATTATTATTCATCAATTTAGAAAACATTGGTTCAACGTTTAACTATTTCAAATGGATAGGTTAGGTTCATCAGGTGTACACTATTATATATCTAGGAGCCGCCAGGCAGCAGGGTGACGATATTTATACAGGATTCTTAAATACATTACAAATACAAATTATTATAATCATTTGAACACATAATTATTCTATGTTTATATGTGACATTTAATGCTTTTCCTTAGAGGTAGGTAGTTATAGTTTCATACTTACACCCATAAGATTGTGTTGGTGTTACCATAGGTTGACCAGGGTAACCATATGGTGGTGCAGTTGGCATTACATTTGGGTAAGACATTGCTGCTGGGACTGCATTAGGTTGAATAGTTGCTCCCGGTTGATATGGATAGGCAAATCCTGGCTGGTATGGATAAGGAGGATTTTGTCCAGGGATTTGGTAGGGGTAATTTGGTTGTGCTGGTTGGCCTGGAGGTGGAGCATTTGCAGGGTTATAAATTTGTGGGTAGATTGGGTTCTGGGGAGGGGGATATTGGGCATTGTTGCCATAGTTAACTGAAAAATATATATTTTTATTATTGTTACAATATTAAGAGGACATAAATATTTGAATATTTAGGCATTGTATATAATTCATACATGTGAATTTTGTATGATGTTCAGAATTTGCATCAATTGTAAATTAATTTAAAATACTGTTTCCTTATTTTGCTTATTTATGCTTTAACTCTTCAAGAAATAATACTAGTAAAAGTAAATTAAAATGAATATGAAAAAAAATATGACAATCGCCAAAACTAGGCATTCTCACATCTTTTTAATGGTGTTAGTTATTAAAATCTATTGAAAAGCCTTAGCGGTCTTGCAATTGATTTTAATTAAGACCGAGCGAAACTTTCAAATGATATACATAGGTAAACTACTTTGTATGCAATTCTTGTAGAAATCTACATTACCTTTAAGATAATAATACCTTTAAAATATTTTTCTAAGTACCCTAACATGTTAGTTTTATAGATATCAATGTTGTTAATATGCTAATAGAGGTCTGCTTAATTAACCATTAGCCCTAATAACATTTTTATGACCCCTTAGAAAAATGAGTCAGTTGAATCACAACGCAAAACTCGAAAATATGTTGAAATTTAATCAATTATTTGGAAATTTAAAATAACGTCTTATTTTAGACTATTTCGAAAGTTAAATTATATGAAAAGAAAAAGATCTAATGTAAATGTATCCATGTAACAAATTGAAACAAAGTAATAAAAACATTTACTTACAATGAGACATGATGTCGTATTTGTTCAATACGTAGTTAACTGTATTTATTAACGTTATACGCACCAACTACCGGTAAATTGAGAAAGAATTAAGAAAGACAATCAGAAATTGACAAAAAACAATAAGTTTTGAGTTTATCTGTGAGTTGAGTATTGATTTCTCCGTTTCTTTTTTCACATCTCAATTCTCATCTCACCAGGTTCTCATTAGAGATGAACCGGTTTGAAGAAACCGGTGAAAAAACCGGTTTTTAATAGAACCTATTAAAACCGATTTTTGTTTAAGAAAACCGGTTTTATTGAAAGCAAAATATTGATCCATCTATCACTTATCTAGTACGACATCTTACGGTTGAACCAAGTACCTTACAACAAACAGAGAACGGAAGTCTATGACAAGTGAGTAAGCACTTCGCGCTAGATGTATTAGAATAAATTAATTTTTATATGTAATAAAGCATTTTAGTTTAAACGGTGGTAGGGCCACGCAGCAGCCTCGGCTGTTGCACGAATGGGCAGGCCCGTCCGGGTTAGTACCACGACCTCACAGAAGACCAGCGTAAAATGGAAGTATGACAAATACTTTCGCATTTCGTCTGGTGAGTGAGGTAGCCGGAGCCCAATTTTCAAAAGGTTGTCAACGCATCTGTAACCCTCGGGTGTGGCAGATGTCCATGGGCGGCGGTATTCACTTAACATCAAGTGAACCGTCTGCTCGTTTGACAACTTTTCGAATGAAAAAAAAAAGCATTTTAATTACAGCCACAAACCACAACACCTACAAAACCCCTTTAAATGTCTGTACTGGTTGCTGTTTCTCCCTCACCTGCGGTTTATGGGCATCATGACTTTAGTCCAATAAGCTCTTTTTACAAAGCTTAATGAAAACCTAAAAAAACCGTTTTTTTTAAAAGTAATCGGTATAAAACCGGTGTGTAAAATTGTAATCGGTTCACATCTCGATTTCTCCTCAGTTCTGGCTAGGGGGGATGCTCGTTGATCATCGATGTTCGATGATCATCGATGTTGAATGCAAAAACATCGATGTTTTTACATCTATGTTGCTATACGAAAAATATAGTAACATCGATGTTAACGGAATCGATCATCGATGAGGCCGTGAGCTAGGCCTCACGCACGACCAATGCGACTTACGAAGTAAATTAGATATGTCTTATATGAACGCATCCACAAAGTAAAAAGGTTTATTAAAGTTCTGAACGTATATTCATTCACTGCACACTGGTCGATCCCTTCGTTCGTTCTTCGTAGTCTCGCTCGTTCTTTCTCTCTCATAACTCCATTAGTTGGTTGATAAAATTTTATTTTGTGCACGTGCGTCGCCTATTTTAATTTACTCATTTGATAGTATTGTACTGTTGTGCATATAAAATTACATGGAATACAACAAAAAAATTTAAGTTTTTACGGATTGCCTTCCAAAAATTAAATTCATTTCTTTTTTTCTGTGCATGCTAAACGATATCGTTCTATTTTAAAGTTATAAATGCTACATATGAGACAATTTATTTCACTTTTTGTACAGCTGTGGTTTGGAATGTGGATGCTTGGGGTTTTAGTTGCATTGAAAATTGTATATTAAGGATATAATATTCAATTTTGTATACTTTTCAATGAATATTTTAGTATGGTCCGGTTATCGTGAGTTCATAACTGAATTTTGTTTACACTTAATTGTATATTTTCAGGGATACAGGAACAGAATTAAAAATGCTGCCAAAAGTCGCTTTTGGGAATTCAAATCATTTCAATGTATTTTATTTCTTGGTCAATAATAATTGACCAAAAAATAAATGCAAAAATCATCGATGCTGTCGATCATCGATGTTCGGTTTTCGATAAATATCGAACATCGATGTTGGTGTTTCGATTATGACATCGATGTTTTTCTAATATCGACCATCCCTAGTTCTGGCTTTTGCCATAGTGAACGAATCGAATGCAGTGTTACCAACTGTTCAAAAATATTAATCCTAATGCAATTCGAAAACCCATAACGTTTATTAAATTCAAACAATTTCTAAATTTAGAATAAGGATTTTTTTTTATATTATAGGTAACGGCAAAATAATTATCTGATAAAATAAAGCATTTCATTCAAAAAGGTCAAGGACATTAAATATAATATAATTCATTTGAAATAAATATGTTAAGAATGATATGAATATGTCAAAACAATATTTAAAAAAATTATGATTAAAATACATCAAATATTCGTATCAGACACATAGGATTTCCTAGTTCCTTACGTCGTCCAAAGCAGCACAGCGCTGTAAAATGTTATTTTATCTTTTTAAGTAAGTAGTTTTATTCGAAAATGTGATAAAATTTGACTTCTAAAAAAATATTCCCGTAAAAATTTATCTTCCAAAAAACTTCTATTCCACATTTTTTATTCCTAAATTTAGGAAGAAAATTTCTAAGTTGGCATCCCTGGGTGTGCGCCGCGCGATGGCGAAGCAATGTGTATCGGTCTCGCCCGGGGTGTTTCTCTCACTTGATTAAATAAACTTATACTTATATATATAAGGTTCAGATTGTCCTTATACGTTAAGTAAAATACTTTCAAAGTATTTTATGTCTTGATTGGAAAATTTTGAATCTTATGTTCATAGTAACAAGGTTTAAATTTGCCAGGAAACAAGTATTCGACTCATTGCGTTGAACAGAAAATACTTTGAAAGTATTTTAATACCTGGTATGAGAAGGTGGAAGTACTTTTAAGACCTGGTACGCGATTTAGCAAGTATAACCCATCTTTAGGGATCTGAAGAAATTTTATTAATGATAACAATCGATATTTAATAAATCGATTATATCAATTTCACTTTTTAATCGATTTTATAAATAGCAATCTGTATATTACGCGAACTAGTTTTGTTACTTTTCAATAGATTTAATTCTAATAAAATGTTAAATGGCATTGAATATTCTTGTCAAATTAAAAGCAGTTGTATTGTATTTTAGTTATGAAACCAGATTTTTATTTTATTTCAACTTGAATCTGATAAACTATTAACAATAGACTAACTTCTTAGTTTTATTGCCATACAGGCATTTTCGATATTGCTGCTGTTTAATTCTTTTTACAAAACCGGTTATTGTCCAAAAGAACAAAATCGATTTTTTGTATATTAGACATAATCTTAATTATTATCAAAAGAATAATGACAGATATAAACTAAATACTAGAAATAAGGACAAACTAACAACGCCATTGTTTCGTCTACAAAAAGTAAGTGTGGTCATGGGGAAATGTGTGCGTTTGTATAATAATATCCCACGATATTAAGTCTGCCACTTGATCAATAAACGCAAATTTAAAAGTAAACTTTTGGCTAAGGCATCTTATATCATTGCAGAATATCTGGACGACACCAATATGAGGAGTTAAAATACTGTTGATACTCAAGTAGACTATAATAAAACTTATACCTGTACCATTATATTGTAAACTGATTTTTTTAAAAAAAAAGAGTAACTGTTGAGTTTCTTGCCGGATTCATTCAGAAACTTTTTTCCAAACCGGTGGTAACTTAGGATCGTATTAAGTTTTATGTTAATATTTGACGTTTCATAAGATTGCGCAAGCTTCTATGTGAATAAAGATGTTTTGAATTTGAATTTAAATTCTGTACTTTTACTGTTTGTGGACAAATGCTGGTAATAAAATATTAGGAGCTTGTACAATTTATCTTAATAATAGATATTGATATTATAATAAAACTCGATATATCGATATATTTCTTAACTGCCGACATCCCTACTAAAAAGTACCTACTCACGCAACAATTTTTTAATTTTATTGTGTGCAATGTTGCCGTGTTCTTTTTTAAATTCAGTATTTTAATGTCAAAAAATCAATCGCTTAAGTATAAACGATATTTTCTTTTCTTTATGAAAAACATTTTTTTTTACTTTTTTTAAAGCAGATGTAATTTTTTATGATAGTATATTGTTAATATTTTGCAACCTTAGATCATAATCGGTTTTGAAATATTGAATTTCTAACCCTAATACTGGAAGATATCCTTTCAGGTTTTTTTAACCAGATATTCATCGACAGATGCTAATATATTCATCGTATAACTAGATTTAAACTGAATTAGAAAGATTCACTAGATAGACAGTAAACATTTGTGAACCAACCGCATGATTAAAATACTTATTATTTGCCTTCTAGTTGGATATTTAACGCATTTCTCGGCAACTACGCTTTCCCCGATATGTGGAAGGTATGGTACCGCACAACATCAGCCTCCCTAAGACGAACAAGCGCCGAAACTTAGCGTATAATAATTACCAACCCTATAGTAATTGAAAAGGGAATAAGTACTTATTTTAAGTCAATAAATCTTTTTGTTTTATCACACAGTGCATATCAATTCAAGTTTGTATAATATGCCGTTTAATCTAATTAAAATGTACTGAAAACAAAATAAATCAATAAAAAGAAAAAATTCGGCAATCCATACTTTATCCATCCTTACTAATATTATATAGGCGAAAGTTTGTATGTATGGATGAATGTTTGTTACTCTTCTACGCAAATGGATTTATTATTAATAATAATAATAATCCTGTAGATTCGTTCGATGATGAAATAGTCGCCCAAGATATAGGGCAGATGAGAAGCCTATTGGAGGAGGCAATTCTGGAGGTGCGCGAAACGCCTTTCGAGAATCGACCACGTCTCCCCCGCATACCCCTGAGTAAGCGGAGTTGGTCTGTCGTGAGGTCTCTTAACCCGATGCTGGCAACCTATTTAGAAGCTAGCCGGGACCTTTGCGATACGGACTCAATACTCTTTGGCGCTGCACTGGCAATATGCCGAATCGTTGGCGCCAAACTTCCCAAGGCTGGACGTGCTACCAGACCAGGTAGCACTATCCCAGCATGGAGAAGAAGAATTGAGGACCGTATCGCAAAGGTAAGGGCCATCATCGGCAGGCTGATAAGCTTCAGGTCGGGCAATAATAGGCCCAGAAT